ACTCTAAGTGGAAGGAAAATCTCCATAACGACATGGCAAGGACCGATGTTTAAAGAGTCGTCTGAGTCAGAGACAGAGTCAGAGTCAGAGTCAGAGTCTATTCCTGTAGAGTCATCTAAATCCTTAGTTGTAGCACCCCCTCCTTCATCTATTTCTTCTCATAGGATAGTTAGTAATCAAGTCCCTAAGGACATCTCCCTTTTTCATGTAATGATTTCCGAATTCAATAATATGTCTTCTTCTGCTTACTCCTCGTGTTTTTCTTTAACCAAGATGACGAGCATTTCTTAACTAACAATGAAAATAAAAAAGAGATTATTAAAGAAATGGAAACACTTGAAAAGAAAACACTGATAATTGAGGAAACTAAGACGGTTGATATCTAAAATGATTTAACCATTAAAAGAGAAGTTAAAATCGGATTAACATTTAATGAACAAAAAAGAACTGATTTAATTGATCTACTTAAAGAATTTATCGATGTATTTGCGTGGTCATATGAAGATATTCTAGGTATTAATAGAGAAATAGCTCAACACACTATACCACTAATTCTAAGAATGAAACTTGTAAAACAAAAGTTGCGTCGAATGAAACCCGACGTAGCTATTAAAATAAAAGAAGAAGTTTAAAAACAAATAACTACAGGTTTCATCAGGGTATCCAAATACCCCGAATGGGTGGCCAACTTCGTCCCCATTCTGAAGAAGGATGGAAGGGTCAGAATGTGTGTTGACTACCGAAACTTAAATAAGGAAAGTCCAAAGGATGACTTCCCTTTACCACACATCGATATTCTGGTAGATAATACAACAAATCATGCGCTTCTCTCGTTCATGGATGGATATGCAGGATACAATCAGATTCTCATGGAAGAAGAAGACATGGAGAAAACAACCTTCAAAACACCATGGGGTACTTACTGTTACACGGTAATGCCATTCGGGTTGAAAAACGCGGGTACTACTTACCAACGAGCAGCGACTGCCTTACTCCATGACATGATGCACAAAGAAGTTGAAGTATATGTGGACGATATGATTGTGAAGTCAAAAGATTGCCCAGGACATCAAGTTGCCTTCAGAAAATTCTTTGAAAGACTAACGAAATTACAACATGAGGTTGAATCCATCCAAGTGTGCTTTTGGAGTCACCTCAGGCAAGATTTTGGTATATGTCATAAGCTCTAGAGGCATAGAGATAGACTCAACCAAAATGAAAGCAATTATGTCAATGCCACCGCCCAAAACCGAGAAACAAATTCGAGGATTTATTGGCCGATTGCAATATATAAGTAGGTTCATATCAAAATTAACAACAATATGTGAACTAATATTCAAAAAGATTAAAAGGAATGTACCAGTAATATGGGACGATGAGTGTCAAAAAGCCTTTGAAAAGGTCAAAGACTATCTCAAAAATCCTCCCGTATTAGCACCAGCACTTCCAGGAATACCTCTTAGGTTGTACCTAAAAGTCACCAAGGAGACAATGGGAGCATTGCTTGCACAAGAAGTGGAAGGTAAAGAAAATGCCATCTACTATCTAAGAAAAAAGATGCTCGAATATGAAGTACGCTATACACCACTTGAGAAATTGTGCCTCGCATTGGTGTGGGCCACAACCAAGTTAAGACATTACATGCTCGTGCATACAATCTTTGTAGTTTCCTGAATGGATCCACTTAGGTATTTGTTCAAGAAGTCTACACTCACTAGGCGCATATCAAGATGGATAGTCAATTTAGCCCAGTTCGATGTAAGATTCATGCCTCAAAAAGATATCAAAGGATCCGTGGTCTCGGATTTCCTGGCAGATTTTCCAATAGAAGATTCAACGCCAATACAGGACAATGAATTTCCGGACGAAGACTTGATGGTCACAGAAGATGATACTTGGACTTTATACTTAGATGGAGCCTCAAACCAAAAGGGATGTGGCGTCGGAGTATTATTAGTATCACCTAAAGAAGAGCATGTTCCAATCTCCATAAAGCTAGATTTTGATGTTACTAATAACGCTGCTGAATACGAAACATGTATGGTATGTCTTGAAACAGCTTTGGCATTGGGAATAAAAAAATTACGAATATTCGGAGACTCTTCATTAATCATCAATCAGATTTCTAAAACTTGGAAAGTAAGGAGTGAAAGTCTATCCCCTTACCAAACTTATTTGGAAACTCTCACCAATAAGTTAGAAAAGGTAGAATACACCTATCTACCTAGGGAGGAAAATCAATTTGTTGATGCCTTAGCAAGACTAGCCTGAATGGTTAGGATTCCTACGGAAAAAGAGCAAATGCCGCTAACTATAGAGAAAATCACAAACCGGCGTATATTCAAGCTATAGAAGATGATGAAGTGATCTTAGATGAAGAAGAAGAAAAAGAAGAAGAACCGTGGTACACAGATATACTTAATTATGTCACCAAAGGAGAATAACCTCCTCATGTCGACAAAAGAGCAAAAAAAGCATCAAGACTCTTGGCTTCCCAATACGTACTTATAGACAACGAGTTTCATAAAAGGGTACCTACGGGTTAAGCTCTCTTATGTGTAGGGAAAAAAGATGCTCAAAGAGCTATGAGGATAGTCCACGAAGGCATTTGTGGAACCCATGTTAATGGTAAAATGCTAGTCCAAAAGATAATACAGGAAGGATACTATTGGACTGCCATGAATAGAGATTGTCATCAATATGTGAAAAGATGCCCTAAATGCCAAATCTACGCCAATTTACAACATGTTCCTCCATCTCTACTTTACACCTACACTTCACCATGGCCATTCTCTACATGGGGGATTGATATTATTGGTAAAATTACCCCTCCAGGAACAGACGTTCATGAATACATCCTAGTAGCAATTGATTACTTCAAAAAGTGGGTTGAAGCACAATCATATGCTAAACTTACTGCAAAACATGTAGCACTCTTTATCGAAAGGAATATCATTTGTCGATATGGAGTCCCACATGAAATGATAAGTGACAATGGAACTCACTTTCAAGCCGAGTGTGAAGAATTGTTACACCATCATTCTTCTCCTTATAGACCTCAAGCAAATGGAGCAGTTGAAGCAGCTAATAAAAATCTAAAGACTATCATCGAGAAAATGACAGAAAATTACAAGGATTGGCCTGACAAGCTCCATTTTGCACTTTGGAGTTATCGTACGTCAATTCGTACATCAACAGGAAATACGTCATTCTCCTTGGTTTATGGAATGGATTTCGTACAACCTATCGCACTAGAAAGTAAACTCGATGAAGTTGAATGGACTAGAGCGAGATATGAAGAGCTAATTCTACTCGATGAAAAGCGACTAGAAGCTCTACATCATACTCAATGCTATAAAACTCGTATGGCTACGCATTTTAATAAGAAGGTCAAGACAAGAAACATCAAAGTAGGAGACTTTGTGTTAAAAGCATTAAGGAAAAATGTTTTGGATCCAAGAGGCAAATTTAGGCCTAATTGGTCAGGACCCTATATTGTCAAAACAATCCTATCAGGAGGCGTGGAAAAATTAACTGATATGGATGGCAATGAGTTCTCGAACCTGAAAAATCTTGACCAACTTAAAAAGTACTACCCATAATTACTTGAGTAGGGTACTTAAGAGAGCTACATTTGGCCTGATTCCTTAGGAAAGGATATGTAGGCAACCCTTTACGGGTGCGGCCACTTTAATTTTCGCAAACCTCGCATTCCAGATATAAAAAGAAGTTCGACAGAAGTTCAACAGAACATCGGCGTCACAGAAAAAAGCCTGTTGCCGGCTAAAAAAAAGCTTGTCGCCAGACGACAGACTGCAACAGCCGGCGCCAGCCGTAAAGTAACGACGCCAATCTTCTGGGACTACCTGGGCAAATTTCAGTGTTTTTTGGAAAATTTTCGACTTCCGTACTCGGAAATTTTTTTGGGAAAATTAAATTTTCTGTATTCATTGCTTTAATAAATTAAGTTTAAAGGAGTTGATTTAATTAAAAAGCTGAAATTTCATTAATTAAATAAACTAAAACTTACATTATTGATGGAATTTAAATAAAGCTTAATAAAATAGATTAACTTTAAATTTAAAACTAAGTCTAATAAATTGAAAGTTAAGCAATGCTTCAATCTTTCTTCTATTTCTTTGCACTCTTCCAATTTTTATCTGCATCCTCTTCATCGTCCATGGCTTTAGCTAGTAGGCATCCTTTAGAGGACCTACATTCAATTTTGGAGGTAATAGTTTCTCCCTTAGTTAGGACTCCATGTTTCTTTTATACTAAAACCTTCTTCTCTGAATTGTCAACTTTTCTTTTCCTTTCATCCTTTGTAAAATTTTTCTTCTTAGGCATCATAGGTGTTTTAAATTCAATCCTTTCACCCAAGCGTTCTTTAACAGGAATCACCTTGTCACCCAGACGACTCTTCACATCAGTTCTACTCTGATTTTTCTTCATGTCCTTTGAAGGTTTCTTGAGAAGCCACCTCTTTACATTATTGGGAAAGAAGGAGGAACTTTTTGGGTAATCACTTTCCATAAAGGTCTAGCGCTCCAATATGCATCAAAATTTTCTATTTCTTGTGAAGCAGGAAATTCATAGGGACGACGAATATCCCCAGAAGGAATTGTTTGAAGTAGGCCGTACTGTCTTTTTACTCTGCAGGGATAATAAAAAGTCATCTTGTTTTTTTTTTTTTGGAAAGTAAGAAAGTATTATAAATCAAAAACTGTACAAATGTACAAGAACTTACAACCTGACAAAACAGGAAACACCAGACTACACAAGCCTTACAAGAAAGGCACACCACCCCTAGCAGATTAAAGGGTATCCTGTTCACCTTCTAGGAAGGGTACCAGGACACACAAGAATCAGAAAACCAGGTTCAGAGACCCCAGGTACCTTCTAGGAAGGGCACAGGGAAACCAAAACCTGCAAAAAAAAAAAAAACACTAAAACCCCTGCCAAAACAGTCCAACATACAAAACAAGACTAACAAAAAACAACTAGACACTATTTCTAAGCTGATGGAGCCATTGACAATCAGCAATTGTCCAAGTATGATTGATTAGCTGCTGACATCTAGTCACCACCTCCCTTCTAATGACCTTAGCAACAAATTCAGGTCTAAGCACGGCACTATGCCAGAGAGCATGATTCCTAGCTATCCAAATACTGTAAACAACAGCAGCCAAACTAGCCAGGATCAAATTCTTCTGAACATGGTTCCTACCCTCAGCTTTCCATAATTTCCAGTTGTGAAGAATGTCTACCTGATCTTTGTCAAAACCAATACATTGAGAAACAACCTTCAACACCTTCTTGCTAAAACTGCAGGAGAAGAAAAGATGACTGCAATTTTCCACTGCATCACCACAAAGCAAGCAGTCACTGCTATTACTCACCCCATATTGAAAAATCTTATCTCTAGTTTTAAGTCTTCCCAAAACAGCAAGCCAAACAATAAAGGTATGTTTTGGGATATTGAAAGGATTCCAAACCCATTTACACCATTGAACCTTATCCAAATCACCTTGAAACTAGTTATAACCATCTCTAATTTTGTACTTATTACTCAGCCAGCCCTTAGATTTAAAACCATGTCTCAAATCATCTTTAACTTTGCATAACAATTTCCAAGCCCATCCAGCATCTTTCTTTGGAACATAATCCCACCAATTTTCACCTTTAATGTACACTGAATGTACCCATTTAACCCATAAAGAGTCAGTTTTCTTTGCTATTTTCCAAACATAGGCACCCAGAGCAGCTTTGTTCCACTTCCTGCAATCTCTGAATCCAAGACCACCTGCCTTCTTAGGTCTGCAACACCAATCCCAGGCAATTGGAGGGGTAGTAGATAGAACAACATTACCACTCCATAGAAAAGCTCTGCATAGCTGGTTAATCCTATCAATGACTGATTTGGGAAGTAAAACACATTGAGCCCAATAAGTATGCAAACTCATTAACACTACATTGATAAGGGTGACCCTAGCTGCATATGAAAGATTCCTACTACTCCAGCAATGTAATCTGACCAGCATCTTGTTAATCAAACTATCATAATCCACCATCTTCAAATACTTGGCATTTAAAGGAATCCCCAAGTACCTAAAAGGCATATCACCCTTCACAAATCCAGAATGGCATAGAATGCTGTCTTGGGCAGGTTGCTGAACATTACTAAAGTAAATTGCAGTTTTCTTAAGATTAGCCTGCAAACCATATATAGCTTCAATGGTTTTAAGAGCCTTAATCAGGAGCTTGACAGACTCATTATTCCCATAGGAAAACAACATCAAATCATCTGCAAAAATCAAGTGATTTAAAGCAAGCTCCTTACACCTTTGATGATATTTAAATCTCCTCTGCTTTCCTACTTTCTTCAGCAATCTGGAGAAATACTCCATCACAATAACAAATAAGAGGGGAGACATAGGATCACCTTGCCTGATTCCCTTTTTCCCTTTAAAAAAACCATAAGATCCACCATTAAGCAGTAAAGAGAAAGTAGGAGTAGTAACACATTACATAACCCAAGAAATTTATTGAGTGGGAAACTTCAAGGCAACCATCATTCCCTGAATAAACTCCCAGCTTACAGAATCATAAGCCTTCCTAATATCCACCTTTATGGTACACCTAGGGGGCTTCCTTTTATTATTATAAGCCTTCAGCATGTCTTGACAAATAAGGATATTATCCAGAATAGATATTCCAGAGACAAAGGCTCCTTGACAATCATCAATTAAGCCAGGCATCACCTCCTTCAATCTAGAACAGATCATTTTAGAGATGATCTTATAGACCACATTACAACAAGCTATAGGCCTGAATTGAGTGACCTGATTAGCATGATCAATCTTAGGTATCAAAGTTAAAGTAGTGGCATTGATCTGTTTGAGCAACTTACCAGCACTGAAAAAATCCAGGATAGCCTTGGTAACATCATTACCAATAATATGCCAAGCTACTTTAAAAAACTTGCTGGAAAACCCATCAGGACCAGGAGCCTTATCATCATCAATACTCCATAAAGCAGACCTAACATCATTATCAGAAAATGCTCTACAAATAGTCAAACCTTGCTCATCAGATAACTTGTTACCCTCAGCTATGACTGCAGAGTGAATGTTGCCCTGCATTGAAGCTTCAGTTCCAAGTAGCCCTTGGTAATACTCCAAGAAAGCCTCACACACCTCCTTAGGATCAGCAGTCACCTCCCCCATATTGTTCACAATGGAGTAGATATTATTATGAAGTCTTCTCTTCCTAATAACAGCATGGAAGAAAGCAGAATTCATATCACCATCTTTAAGCCAATGAACCTTGGCTTTTTGCTTCAAAAAATTGTATCTATCCAGGTGAGTTTTAGCATATCTCACTCTAGCTTCCCTTTCCAAATCAATCAGACTCTCATTATCAGGCTCAGCTTGGAGTTTCACTTGAATTTCCATCAAAGTCTTCTCATCTACATCATCCTCAGTTTCAATACAAGAGTAATTCACCATTTTCAAGTTTTTCAACACTTTTTTCATCTCTTTCAACTTCCTAACACACTGGAACATCAATGTACCATTAACATTAATCTCCTAGGCCTCCTTAACAGCTACAAGAAACTCGGGAGAATCCACCTAAATATTAACAAATCTAAAAGGTTTCTTAACTTGAGTTCCGGAATCAAATATATTAATAACACAAGGGCAATGATCCATTAAGCCTTCAGGGAAAAAAGTAGCTTGCATATCTGGAAATCTATCCATCCACACACAATTCACAATGATTATGTCAATTTTAGTACACACTCTATCACAACCAGCTTGCTTATTACACCAAGTATAAAACATTCCCCCAGCAGCCCAATCAGAGAGGTTGTTCTGTCTAAGGCAAGCTCTAAAAGGCTCCACTTCAGTCAGAGAAACAAGACTGCCAATTCTGTCAGTAAGGTTCAAGATATTGTTAAAATCCCCACAAAGAACCCAAGGTCTGTTCATACAATCACCAATCTCAGTAATTTTCTCCCAAAGCTTATGCCTAGCAACAACCTCATTCAAACCATAGACCATTGTGCAGAAAAAATTATTACCTGTTCCTTTATGACAAACCTGTAAATGGATTAACTGTTCTTCACATCTAACAACAGACACATCAAACACCTGAGGCATCTAAATAACCAAATTCTACCACCCTTATGATGAGAGTAATTAGCACAAACTGACCAATCACTTCCCAATCTATTAAACACCACACCAAACCTCTCAGCCTTCACCTTAGTTTCAAGATGTCCAAAAAGACCAACACCATGATGTCTAATGAACCATAAGACATCACAGAGCTTACTAGCCTTGTTTAGACCTCTAACATTTCAGAAACCAATTTTATCCATGGAGAGAAAGAGAGCATTCCCCCTCCTCCAATACACTGAATCTATTTCCACTACTACTGATCAGAATAACACCAGGTTTCAAACTTTGAAGTTGCTGATCACCATCATCTTCCTGTTGAGGAACATTCTAATTAACAGTGCCACTATTGAAATTCTGAGAACCAGGCTTCTGAACTGGTTTCCAGATTTTCTTCTGTCTATCCTTGTTCTGAACTCTCTCAGGCTGCATTTTCATCTTATTCCTCTTCTTCACCTTATGGTTAGGGCAGTGAACATCAATATACCCAATCCCACCACACACCTTACAGATCATAGGCCTCCACTCATACTTCAGAGCTTGCTTTATTGTATTGCCATATTCATCCATAAACTCAATGCAATCTGGTAAATCGACATTAAATTTCACCTCTATCAATATTTAGCATACTCCAATCTTTCCCTGGTGGTTGTTGCCTTATCAGTCTTGATAGGGTTCCTTATCATAGAAGCCAGTTTCATTAGTGTCTTTTGCCCCCAGTATTTGAATTTTAGTCCAGGCAATCTAACCCAAATAGGCACCAAATCCACAGGCTCAGCATCAAGGTCCATTCCAGCCACCCATTGTTTCACTATCACTGGTTTATTGTCAAACCAAACAGGTCCAGCCCCCAAAACTCTATCCCTCGCCTCAGTAGTCCGAAATCGGACCAGGAACACCCCATTTGCCATAAGAGAGACCTTATCAATCCCATATCTTCCCCATATCCTTCTAGCAAACCCATTCACAACAGAAAAAGGTGGTTTAGTACCAATTATATGGCAAACAATCGCCGAGTACCAGAAGTCAATCTCGGGTTGAACATCCTCGAAGGTAATTTGGACCTTGTCACCATTACCCTTATCAAAGGAACCCCCATCCAAGTTCTTACCTCCACTAGACAGGTCTACCCCCTCATCTCTAGTCCCCCCAAATAGGCTTTCCCTCCAATTCAATCGAGTAATATCAACAGAATTCGGAGAACGAAAAACAGGGGAACACAACTCGGGGTTCTTAGAAATTGGGAAAAACGCATTCATAGTACAATTAGAGTGTTTAAGCATCAAAATAGGAGTAGGATTGTCCTTATTCAATACACTATCACAACATTCATCAGTTCGAAGCTCATCATTAATTGCGGATTTAGAGGATTGAATTACTTGGAGCCAATTGTTAAACTCCTGCTGATGCTCACCACGTTCCTCCTCCGTCATTTCCTTCACATGCATAGTGTTCTCCATGACTTCATCAAGCCAGCTTTCAACCAAAACGTCCTCAGTAGCAATGCTCTGCTATTTCCTTTTCGTATAATTCCTTGTTTTGGGTCTAGAATTCTGCTTTGCTTTTTGTTTTTTTTTCGATTTTGAGCTTGAACTCTTGCTTCCCTTACCTTTCTTCCTCTTTGCCATTGAAATCGGCCTAAAAATCGAAGCTCAAATTTGTGGGTTTCAATCGGATTTTCAACTTTCTCTCACTAGATCTTGAGACTTTCAATAAAAAAAAAAAGTTGATAGCAAAAGTCATCTTGGTTAAGCTTGGAAGACAACAGAAAGGTTTCTCGTTGACACCAACCATCTTCTCTATTTTCCACCAAGGGATGATCCACTTGATAGCAAAGTTGCAAGAAGCAAAGACTTTTTTCCACTCATGGCGCCCCATCTTAGGGAAGCATTTCTTTTGCCTCACAAAGCAATTTAGAGTATATTTTTCAACATTGTCAGGGGGACTAATTAATTCTAGTCTCACCATTAGCTATATCTACAAAAATTAAATGCAAATAAATTAATATTACTATACAAAAATATGTTTTTGATTTCTGTAATAAAAAAATATTATTTTTCTACCTGTAATAAAATCGGAGAGCCCCAAAAAAGGTGCTTTTGGATTTCTCTTCAACTCATCAAGACTAAGCATAGTCTCTCCAACAATTAATGGCATTGGATTTCTCCCAGATTCGATTTGCTCCAAAACATTTGATATAATTGCTTGGCCCACATTAGTTCTACCACTAGTGAGAAGATATTGGTAAGCATGCAAAAGAGAAAATCCATTCTTATATAAACATGAAAAGATTCAGAATAAGGTCTATCAAAGTAATGGTGTTCAAATTATTTCAAATTAACTGCACTACCATCTACAATATTTGTTAGATCAATGTCTCTTAAATTACAGAAGCGCTCAAAATCTTTATAATAATATTCATTTATTCTAGGGTTACTGCAAGATTTAATGCAGGGAAGCCTAAGATAGCACCGAATTTTTCCGGTAAAGGGCTAATTTCATCACACCCTAGTCTAAAATAATGAGTATATGTATCCCAATATTCTAAGGAGGTATGAATAAAGTCTATATCAAGATCTACCCCCTTAACACCATAGATACCTCCTATATGGAAAAAGTCTAGCTCTTTTCTCTCTTTAGTAGTTAAAGACCGACACCATTCACGTGTGAAGTTGGTAAAACTCTTAGTAACTAAAGACATGATTATTTTTCAAAAGCTAAGACTATGATTAATCTGCTGAAATTATGAAGAAATTCGGCAGATCAGGGGGCTATTTATACACATCATCGATACAGTTTTAATCCGGAAAGGATTCGGAGTCAGCGCTCTCCAGCGCCAAACGACGATCTGTCGTCTGCCACCAGAGTTTGGCGCCAATCGCCAGCAGCAGCGCTTGGCGCCACGTGGCACTGACGTGTCTTATCAGCGAGCTATTCAAAACCGTATTTTTTGGCTACGATTTGAACTCGTACAATGGCTTTACGATTTTATCCCTTTATACAAATAACCATACATATTAATTTCAATTATTAATTTCAATTTTTCCTTTTTGGATTTTAATCAAACTTAATTTGTTTTTAAGTTCGTTGCAAGTCCTATTTATTTTTCATTTTTCTTTTTATGGGAGAAAGTCGGATACCCTCCATCAATAATAAAAATGACGGAAATTTTTGCACAAAATTATTCCTATTACAATTTTTGCACACACAAATACGCACATAAAAAA